CATATATCCCTACTCCTAAGAACTCCACAGAAGAATCCACAGTCACAGATAATTGGGAAACTACATAATGGACATTATCATATAAAAACCTCTGAAAACCCTATAAATGCCAGCTACTCAGAAAGCTGAGGTGGGAGGATCACTTGAACTCATGAACTCATGAGTTCGAGCTGGGAGTTCTACCCCAACCTGGACACCCCAACCTGGACCCCATCTCTTTTTTTTTTTTTTTTTTTTTTTTTTTAGAGACAGGCTCTCGCTATGTTGCCCAGGCTGGAGTGCAGTGGCTATTCACAGGCACGATCCCACTGCTGATCAGCACGGGAGTTTTGAGCTTCTCCGTTTCCGATCTGGGCCGGTTCACCCCTCCTTAGGCAACCTGGTGGTCCCCCACGCCCGGGAGGTCACCATATTGATGCAGAACTTAGTGCGGACACCAGATGGGCATAGCGCACTACAGCCCAGAATTCCTGGGCTCAAGCGATCCTGCAGCCTCAGCCTCCGGAGCAGTTGGGACTACAGGCACGCGCCACTGCGCCTGGCGACCCCATCTCTTTAAAAAAAAAAAAAAAAAAAAAAAGTCTCCGAAAAGTTCCGTAATTTATAAAAACAAATCACTTTGCATTTAGTATTATTGCACAAACTGATTTAACCACAGAATCTGTCCCCTGCTATTCCTCTGAGGAGCATTTCTTGAACCCGGGAGGCAAAGGTTCAAGCAATCTAGTTGCATAACTAAGACCCCATGCAACTAGAATTCTTCAGCACATACTTTGGGAAATGCTAAGTAAGCAGAATTCAAACGCTGGCAAGGAAAAGCCAAATCTTGGAGAGAAGAAAACATACTTTGGACTTTGAGTAGAAGGAAAAGTCTTTGGGGAAGGAAACAACTGGAAATCCTAGGTAACATGGTGAGAAAATGGGAAGGAGGAGGGTGTGGTCAGAGAAATATTCCAAAGGTTCCAATCCTTCCAAGTGATTTTCCTCAGACTCTAAAGGATAGACCAGAGAGTAGGAAGAGGTAGATCAACACAGGAAAAGTGACTCCGCAGTTCTCAAACTTTCTCCCTCAAGCCCCGCTACAACTCTGTCCCCAGCAAGACAGTGTTGGATTCCAGATTGGTTCCTGTCTCTTTTCTCATGTCTCAATCTTGACAGAAAGCAACTTGGGTAGCTGTGAAGTTTGTGAAGCTCAAAGTCCTGATAGTATTTGCAGACATTAAGTAACTTTGGTGACTACTCAGTGCACTCCTGTTTAGTCTGCATCGTGGCTGTCACATTAATATCCCTAACTGCTAACACTCAATCTTGGAGTTACATTTTATGTTAAGGTCAGAAACTGTAATTTTGACTCCGTACTTCAAATATATTACTATGATGACGTTTAAAATGAGGCAGACTTCACATATGACGAAGCTCTCTCTGTAATATGAAAGAACAGCGCTGCCCCCAGTGAACCCCTGGCAGCCCTTATATGGAGCCTCCTAGAGGCTGCATTGCCAAAATGTTACTCATAGGCTTGGGGGAGGGGGGGGGGAAGCAGGATGCACTTTTCTCATATGCAATATTTCAGACAAGGAAAACAAAAAGTATTCCATTTAGCCTAAATGAGGTTACTGAGCTGACGCCAGATCTGTTCCAAAACCATGTGTGTGCAGTACAGAACTGGCAGCATCCTGTGTAATGTGAGAGCTTCAACTGCTCTCAACCAAGCACACAAACTTGGGAACACCAGTCCTCAGTGAGAACCGAACTGAGCATCAGCCTTCCCCACTGATCTGGCTGCCATCTCATATTCTCCAATCAAAATTCAAGTCAACCAAGCTTCAGAAGGGCACCTCTCTGGTATATATTTTATGGTAAAATTAACTGGTACATTAAAAATATAACTCAAAGAGTGAGAGTGAGTATTTGTGTATATAATGCTTTTTTAGACTCTTATAAAGTACGTAATAGAAATTTGCTAATGGAAACTACATAGTTCCAAATTTTTCGCCTTCCTATTAGGTATGAAATTTTATTTCACTTATTTTATAAATATTTTGATGGTTGTACTCAGATAAAGATTCTCTTGCCTTTATAACCTAAGAAGCAGTTTTAAAGTTTTAACAATAATATTTTAAAAGGCTTGACTCACTTTCACTTTAATCAATTTTTAGAATCTCTTTAAGGTGGATATTCTTCAGAATATTGCCCTTCCCTCTATCGTTGGTAAAATCACTTTTAAAAAATCATTGTGTTTTTAGTAAGGCTCAAAGAAATAGGCATTTTCATACATTGTTGGTGGAAATGGAGTTTGGGACATATTTTTTGGAGACACACACGCATATACATGTTCATGCATATATGTTATATATGTATATGCATGTACACATACACAGACATACATGCATTTATAGATAGGTAGTTGGTCCATATCCTAGGAATTTTCTTAAAGAAGTATTAGAAAATGTTCACACATAGTTATCTACAAGGATAGTCAGCATAAAGATGTGTCTTCTTCTAGATCCTTATGGGTGAAAAACTAGGAGCAACTTAAATTCCCACATGTAATGGAAAAGTGAATTGATGACATTATAGTCATACAATGGCCTACAAAGTATTTATCTAATCATTCATGGAAGAACACCAAATGACATATTAAAGCATTGATGCTACATTGAAAAAGCATGTTACACAATTCTATGTATAATTATGCCACAGCTATTTCAATCCAAAAAAGTACTAGAAGAATTTCTGCCTAAATGTTAACAATAGCTATACTTGGGTAATGAATGTGTGAATAAATTTTTACTTTTTCTTATGATTTTTCTCTCTTTTTCTGAGTTTTCTTCAATAAATGTATATTATTAGCCGGGCGTGGTGGCTCACACCTGTAATCCTAGCACTTTGGGAGGCTGAGGTGGGTGGAACACCTGAGGTCAGGAGTTCAAAACCAGCCTGGCCATCATGGTGATACCGTATCTTTAAAAAAAGAAAAAACATGAAAAAATTCAAAAATAAAATAAAATAAAATAAATGTATATTATTTATGTAGTCAATAAACAAAATGACTATTACAGTATCTTGGTATATTTGTACACTTTAACCCAGCAGTTCTGTTTTTAGGAATATATCCTAACCTAAGGAAATAAAGAGATGTACACACAAAGAGGTATTTCTAACTATGTTCTTTGGTGATTTGTTTATAATGATAAAATACTAGAAGGACTCAAATGCTCAGCAATAGAATTTGTTTTTAAAAATTGCAATGTATTCAAACGATGCAATATTTCACATCTTTAAAGTCAGATTCTTGGTTGTGCGCAGTGCCTCATGCCTATAATCTCAGCACTTTGGAAAGTGGAGGCAGGAGGACGGCTTGAGCCCAGGAGGTCAAGACCAGCCTGGGCAACATAGCAAGACCCTGTCTCAATAAAAAAAACAAAAAACAGATTCTTGAAAACATGTAAGAATAAGGGGAACTTCTCAAGACATATTAAGTAGAAAGGTATGTAGATAGATAGACAGACATAAAGCAATGAAAGGTTTGATTGCCTAGAAAAACATTAGAATATACATTAATATGCTAGCAGGGATTACCGCTCGGCAGTGAAATTGTTTACAGATTCTTTTAATTTTTATGTTTTTAATTATTTAATTTTTATGAACAGAAAAATATGTAAATGGTAAGAGTGTTTTATTGCTAGCAAAATTAAGATACAGGATTAATATAAGCATGACCCCTCCAGATATTTTCTTTAAACTACCACTCCTACTCAATTTATCAGTGTACCACACAGGAATACAGCAATATTTAAGAATTTTGTTTTAGTCCATGGGTCTGACAAACAGAAAGAATTTTGACCAAAAAATTTGCTTGCTCTGTAAGATGCTTAAAACAACAAACAAAAGGGATATTTGTGGGTGGACTGGCCCAAGACTCACATCTCTAAAGTATGACGAAGCTTTCTTAATCATTTACCTCTAGAGAATCTAAGTCAGCAAACGTGAAAGCAATCCAGAGACAACACAAGGTGTAGTGTAGCCTTCCTCCCTGATGCAAGGGCTACATTCACAGTGTGAAGGAAGGTTTTTGGAGTTCAGTGAGAGAGCTATGCCTTTAGCATAGCTCTGGTAGCAGCCAGTGATCAATACAAAGGCTAGATAGATAGGTGGATAAGTAGAATTAGTATCTATCGATCTAAATAGGTAGACATAGATATAGGTAACATGTAAACATCTCTGCTTGGAGGGCTAAGGGAAGAACAAACATTCATATGTATTTAATTACTCAATATATCATTTATGTTGCAAAAGGCTTAGCATTATGATTGCATATTGCATGATGAGCAACAAGCTCCAAAATGTATGTATGTGCTGCCACTGGTGTGTGAACTCAATGAGTATTTCCTGAAAGTCTGTGTGTAAAACATGGTTCCAGCCACAGGAGACAAAAAAGACAGCATCCTGCGTTCCTTTCCAGATGAAGACACAAAGACAATTCTGAGGATCACATGTAATGTTTCGATGTCTCTCTTTTCCAAAAAAGAGACATTGAGCCAAAAAAAAAAAATTGGACAAAATAATAACTGAAATGTATCATTTTTCACTCAAATTTGGTGTAATATCACTCTAAAAGTTCAGCTTGAAAATACTGCTATGTAGCCTAGGAATCTCACTAGTGAAATTTACCAAAGGCAGTTTTAAAACCTGAGATAATTCATGGAAATCTTCGAGATAGGGTGCAGTATATTATGATTTCTCCTGATGGAATAAAAGACTTACTGTGAGTTTTGACTCCACGAAGCTGGTTCACTACTTTCAAGTTCTAGGACAGGGTTTGGAGATACAACAGGGCAACAATTTTGGCTTCCCAGATGGACAACCAGAATTGAAACCAAGGACCAGTCAAGATCAGACCAACAAAATAATTAAAAGCGGAGAGTGAAAAAGGAAGGAAAAGAAACGGAATGCAGATATGTGAGCATAAGGGAGGTAAAGCAAAAATTAATATTTACTTGATTTGTCCGTTCTCCGTGTAGGTGGTTCTGTAAAACCCCACGAGGGAGCCGTTCAGCCAGCCGGCGAACTCCATGGTCAGGAGATAGAGGCCATCTCCACCGCTGGGGGTAAGCTCTTCCTCTGCCTCGAGCACCACGTACTCCTGCGGTTTGTACTCAAAACACCTCCGGACTTGCACCTGGTCCCCCGATGGCCTCTTCAGCACAGGGAGCTGGGTGATCCTGGTCTCCCGGAGGTGCAGCCACAGGTGGCGGGTGGGCGCGCTCAGGTTGATGGAGATGCTCACGGTGCCGGTGTAGGTGTCCTGCTCCAGCAGGGGTTTCACGTGCAAGTCGTAGTGGACAGGGTTGATGAAGTCTGGCAGCCGGAAGTTTTTCCACTGTCCGCTCTCATCCTCACTGGCAGGGCAGATGCCCTGGTCCTGGGCAGGCGGCCCCGAGGGGCTGGCCGTGGAAGAAGGCTGCTGGGAAGGAGCCGGCGCAGTACCCGCCCCGCCGTCCCCGGTGCAGCCACACGATCTGGTCAAGCCCACGGCAAGTCCCACTATTAATCCTACACCCACCACCACCGCACAGAGAATGGCCACATGTTTCGTTCGAATGCAGTATCTCTTAGAGCCCTCTCCCTCCGCAAAGTTCATTTTTGCTTCCGAAGTCAAGTGTTACACATAAAAAGATGTTAAATTTAACTAACTAACGTCAGCAGACTTCCTTTTTAAATTGGAAGGAATCCCCTGGTTTGGCAGCCTGTTTTCGCTTTCTCCACACCTCTCTCTGGCGTCTTGCGTCTTTGCTCTCCCTTTTCACGTTCCCACCAGCCACTCGGGATGAATGCGGAAACAAGGGGGGTGGAACGAGGACTCCGTAAGAGGAGCCGAGTGGGAGGAAGAGGACTGCAGAGAAGACTGTCACAGCTCCCCTTATAAACGACGCATCTCCACCCCTACCCCTCCTGCACTGCAGCGGGTTAAATATAAAACAGGGCTTCGCTTATCAGCCAACGGGAGATGAGCCCCTGCCAAAGCTCGGTCAGCAGCTTTCAGGGAGGGACCGTTTGGGTGAGGTGTGCTTACGATAGAGAATCTCAACCTTTGCCACTCAGTCTGTGGCTTCTTCCTGTTGTGTTCACAATCTCTCCCTCCTAACTAAAGGGCTTCTTGAATTTCAGCTATTTTATCAGACAGCTTGCCAAAGAAGCTAAATGTTTTCTTTTAATTCCTCCCCCTGCCGCCCCTCATATTATGTAAACATTCAAATTCTGTCCTTTGGAGAAGTCATGTCCTGGAATTGGGTACTCGGTGATTCAAGGACCACCTAGGTACTCAGTAAATATTTGTCGAATTCGATTGGGAAAGCATAGCCAGGTAACCCCTAAATCAGTTCAGCTGGTGCTGGATGAGAGAAGGGGAACTGAAAGAAATTAGACAAAGCAGTAGTGGAGCTGGAAAGCTTAAGGAGGGAGAGAGAGAGAGAGAGAGAGAGAGAGAGAGAGAGAGAGAAAAGTCTGAAAGGACAGAGGGACAAGGAAGATGCCCTGCTTGCCTCTGCAGTGTGCCTCCAAGTGAGATTGACTTCCTTAGACTTTGATGTGGTAGAGCACATTTAAAGTAGATTCCAGATGTGAAAATTGACCTGTGGGGAAATCCATCATCCATGCAAATCTATCGTTTTGTTTCTGAATGACAAGTTCAGGAAGAAAAATTGCCAAGAACTTCATATTTATGGGCAGCTTAGCTATGGACTGACATTTACAGAGGTTAAGTTGCTGCTCGAAGTCACACAGCTGGCAAATTAGCAGAACTGAGATTTGAGTTCAGGTTGTCTGAGTCTGAAGTCCATATATCTGGCCAGGTGTAGTGGCTCACCCCTGTAATCTAAACACTTTGGGAGGCCAAGGTGGGTGGATCACCTGAGGTCGGGAGTTTAAGACCATCTTGACCAGCATGGTGAAACCTCATCTCTACTAAAAATACAAAAATTAGCTGGATATAGTGGCACACGTCTGTAGTCTCAGCTACTCAGGAGGCTGAGGCAGGAGAATCACTCGAACCTGGGAAGCAGAGGTTGCAGTGAGCGGAGATTGTGCCATTGCACTCCAGCCTGGGTGACAGAGCGAGACTCCGTCTCAAAAAATAAATAAATAAATAAATTTTAGGGAAAGTAAAGTCCATGTATCTAACTACTGCATTCCACTACTTCCATGCTCTGAAGAGGATAAATATTCAAGGGTAAAGTAACTATGAAAAACTTAGTATTTTCCCAAATGCAATCCATGGATATTAATAGATATACTTGCCAAGTAACCAATGCTGGATTAAAGTGAAAAATCTTCTTTTACTACTCTCTGTTCTTGCAGAGCCTCCAGATGGTGACATACATCATGAGCCTCCCAGAGAGGAAACGGGATGGAGTACTTTCCCCATTTAGTTGACAAGAGAGCTTTTTCTGGTGAGGTAACTTTTGAGTGCCTTATGTTCCATAGAGCACACTCTGAGAATTGTTGTTTTACACTGTTCTAAATTACAAACAAAACAAACAAACAAAACTTTAAAAGCAAACAGGTCCATTTTACTCTGTAACATTTCTGTTGTTTTCTCATAAAATAGTAGTAACAAAAAAAGAATTAAAGGAAGAGGAATATGTTTTTCTAAATTGTAGGTCCATCTTGTATTTATAATTTTTACATTCTGAAGCAATCCTAAATTTCTTGAGATCATAATATGTTTAAGTTCAGCACATTAACTTCCTGAATTTTAGCCCTTAATGCCCCACTTTTATTGAAAAGATCATCTGACATTTCAATAAATGTTTGATGGGTCAAATATTTTGATATGTTTCTTAGAAATGAAAGGCAAAATGTGGCTCAAAAGTACCTCAACATAATGAAAGGAAAAGCAAAAAGTATTTGGAAGAATGTACATAAAATTATGTTAAATCTTAGATGTGGCAAACATATGAAATCTTTTAAACTTGCCCTTGTGGCAAACATATATGAAGTTTCTTAAACCTGGCCTTATCTAGAAAGATAACAATCTTGTCATCAGATCTTGTGTACAGAGAAGAATAACAGACCTTTGAGTTGGGTATACTTAAGGAAGATTGAAAATGGCCACCTGCTATAAAATATCTCTACGACTCTGCCTGAAATTCTACCACAAAGAATATACTATTTAAATGCAATTTTTTTGCCAGAAGAAATAAAATACTCTAAATGTACATATGGTGTGTTGTGGGTCAAGATGGCCAGGGGGAGACCTATGTTAATTCTAGCTAAATAATTATAAGCTTGTTTGGCTCAGAGTACACTGAAGTTTATACACCAAACTAAACCGTGTTATTCGTGCAGTTAATTAAAAATCAAGCAGCAACAGGAGACCTAAGGTAAAGACCATCCGAGAGCGCAGTAACACCGGGGAACACCGACGGGTGGTTGCAGAGCAGGCAATGTTACTATGGTCCCACGAATGCCTTCTCAACATGGAGACTGCAGGAGGGCCTCGGAAAGAGGGCTAATGCAAAGATCTCAGAGAAGTGAAGCGACCTCTGCTCACAAGATCCGGGAGGGTCTTTGCAGATGGGAGCTGGCAAGGAGGAGAACAGCCTTGCAGGGCAGAGATCACGGAACACCTCAGGCTCTGCCTAGATTCTGGAATGTGGAGTGATTTTAATTGCTCTGTGTCCTCGATGCTCCGGAGATAAAAGCCCCTTGATTCACTGGGTGTGGTCAAACGCAGTGGTTCCTCATCCGCTATATTTCTGATGCAGCTGCAACCTGATAACAATCGGTGGTAAACTCAGAGCACTAGTTTAGCATGTCTTAGAAGGATCTCACGTGCTCTCCACCTGACTATCTTACCTACTCCTTCACCTTCCCTTTCCATGCCCATAAGTCAATGAGATTGTGCACATAATAAAAGCCCAAAGCTCGGGGCTAGTGCGTTTTCCATGCTTGCACTGGTCCCCTGGACCCATGCTGTAACTTCTACTCTTGTGTCTCTATCTTTATTTCCTTTTCTCAATACCTCATCACTGCCAGGACTAAGGGCAACCACAGACAGAGATGGGCTGGTTCTCAACATCTGGCGCCCGACAAATGGGGTCTGACACCCTACGAACAATAGTGTGTGTGTGTGTGTGTGTGTGTGTGTGTGTAAGTTTTGAGTCCATGGCCCAGTTTTAGCCACAGTATCTTATTAAGTGTGTGAGCTTACTGCATCCAATGAATGGCACCATATATCGTGAGGATCAGGATATTAGGGTTACCTAATACAGCCAGAGGAGCAGAGGTAGAAGAGCCAGCATGTGCACCATCACAGGCATCCTTCTAGCTTAAATAGTTGATATTGGGTAATCTTATGTTGAATGAATCTACATTGGATACAAGTAATTTCAAAAGGCTACTGCTGGTCAATTTCCACTTATTAGGTCCAAGCCAGTGGAGTCAAAGAACAACAGTTTACTGTAGGTTCTATATCACAATCGTATCCCTTTTGACACATATATTATCATCTACTTTGAGTACCAAAATTCCAGTATCTGTTCCCTATTTAACATTCATTAGATAACTGTTCCCTATTTAACACTCAATAAATGTTTACGGATTGCTTAGTGAATAAACAAATGAACAAATAAATGAACAAGGAGAGGGAGGAAAACCAATAATCCAGAATGGGAAGGGTTAATCGGCATGCTGTGTCAGGAATGTTGAGAGAAACTCAGTTCAAATTCCGGGAAAGACTGGAAAGACATTCCCTGGGGGTGAGGACCTGGAAATCACATCTGATCTTGAGTAGGTGAGGAAATTCTTGGCATATCCCTTCACATAGCAGGTAGACTGATGCAAGAGACCCACTGTCACATCGAGGGCCAAATATGCGCCTCTCTTTTTCACTTAGAGCTTGAGTTTAAAGCTTTTCTGTTAGCTACCAAGAATTACACATCCCACAGAGGTATTGGGCTTTCCGTGTATGTGAGATGCTGTCTTAGTCTGTTTTGTGTTGCTATAACGAAGTAGCTGAGGCTGGGTAATTTATAGAGAAAAGAGGATTACTTAGCTTACATTTCTGTAGGCTAGGAAGTACAAGAAGCATGGCACCAGCCTCTGCTTGGCTTCTGGTGAGGGCTTTCACACCATCACAACATTAGGGAAGGGCAAAGGGGAAGTGGACGTGTGGAAAGTGGCAAACCCCAAGGTGCATCCTGGCTTTATGACAGCCCACTCATGGGAGCTAATTCATTCTCACAAGAACTAACCCAGTCTTGCCAGAGCAAGAATTCGTTTACTGTCGTAGAATGCAGAAGGGCACGAAGCCACGCATGACGGTAAAGAGCTGTCATGACCTAAACACCTCCCATTAGGCCCCACCTCCCAACACTACCACTGGGATCCAATTTCAATGTGAGTTTTCCTTGGAACAAACAAGCCGTATCCAAAGCATAGCAGATGCTGCTGGCTCACCTGGGCACTAGGAGCATCCCAGGAAATGTTGCCAACGAACACTACAGTGTGATTATTTGGCTGGCTCTTTACTCCAATCAGTAATCTGAGCTGAACACTATGGTTGAGGGAGTCAGGAGTTCAAGACTAGCCTAGTCAACACGGTGAAACCCTGTTTCTACAAAAATACAAAAATTAGCCAGACACAATAGTAGATGCCTGTAATCCCAGCTACTCAGGAGGCTGGGGCAGGAGAATCCAGCTGAACCGAGAAGTGGAGGTGGCAGTGAGCCAAAATCGTGCCATTGCACTCCAGCCTGGGCAACAAAGCAAGACTGCCTCTAAAAAAAAAAAAAAAAAAAAAAAAAGTTGGGGGGCAAGCTAGATTCACAATGGAGGAAATAGATTCTGCAAATTGGGCCAGGCGTGGTGGCTCAAGCCTGTAATCCCAGCACTTTGGGAGGCCGAGGCGGGTGGATCACGAGGTCAAGTGATCAAGACCATCCTGGTCAACATGGTGAAACCCCGTCTCTACTAAAAAAA